TATCCTTGGGTCTGTTCACTTTAGAATGTCTTTTCCAAATCAGTAAGATCTCTTCTTGTCTCCAATAGTCAACAAAATGAATAGCTGTTTAATAGTTAAACATGGAAACACCAAACACTCAAAACAGTGGGTTGCATTTCTGAAGATTGATTCTAGGCTCTTGATGTCAAAGATGATTATGGAAAATTTTCATATGCAATATTGAAATAATATGCAAAATAGTAGAACAGTTATGGGCTTGGATTAAAGATTTAGAACTGTTGGGAAGGAATCTTACCATGTCCACTTACAAACTCTGTTACCTATAAAGAGTTAAGTAACCTCCCTGGGCCAAAGAGATTGCACCTATAATAAGAGATCATAATAAAAGCTGCTTTGTTTAAAAAAAAAAAATTAAAAAAACCCCTCAAACCATTAGTTCAGTATTATTTAAGTACCAAGTGACTAGTAAGTACTTATTAGTACTTATTATTTAATATTAGTATTATTTAAGTACCATGACTAGTTCATTCTCTCTCTCTCTGTTGTTTTTAAAATGTAACAGTGCTTTAAAATAAAATCTTACTTAGTAAGAAAATAATAAAATGAAGATCAGTAGAAGAATTTAGCTGTTGAATCCACCAGCAATGTGTATAAACATTTGTACATTCTCATTAGAATGTGAACATTTTTTCCTTTTGAAAATAGGCACTTGCCAGGAAGTGATCTTAATAATTCTGTAATTATTCTTGATTTATACTATTTCTTCTTGTTACTTTTCCCTGTGAACTAGCATTTCATCAGCTATTAGATAATTCTCAACTCAAACTCAATTCCATCAAGTTGGTTCTGACAGTGACTTCAGTTGTGTTTCTGAGGCTATAAATCTCAGTGGAGGGGGTTGTCAATGTCCCTCCTGTGGAACCGCTAGTGAATGTGAACCACGTGAATCCAGGAACCATATGTGCCATGAAACCTTTGGGTTGGAATGGCTGGTGAATTGATTGACTTGTGATACAGTACCCTTTTTTTATTTATAGTGCTATACTGCCAGTCTTCATATGTAAAGATGAGTTAGACTTACTGTTAGTTTGACTTGGTTTATCCTTTACATTTATGTAAAAGGAAGGTTCTGGTAGAAATCTAGCAGTAAAGACTTCTACCATACCTAAATTGTGTGTGTCTGATATGTATGGTAGTCAGAACCAACTCATAGCTGACCCTTCAGCAGGTTTTCAGAGGTAGTAGATTGCATGGGAGGTGATTGCCCATCTTTCTCTTGTGGAACAGATGGTGGGTTTGAATCGCATACTTTATCATTCCCAAACAGACTATGAAAATGAACCATGAGATTATGACCAATAGTATGGCCTGAAATTTTACTTTAATACCCAATTGAAGAAATTATTTACATTTCACATTGTTGTTGTTATGTGCCATAGAGTTGCCAGCAACTCATAGCGACCCTATGTACAATAGCTCCAAACCCTGGGCCTATCCCTGTCTCTGACACACCTTTTCCCATAACCCCAGTTATTGTGTCAATTCATCTCCACCAGGGGCTTCCTCTCCTGGCCTGTCCCTCCACCCTTCCAAGCATGTTGTCCTTTTCCAAGGACTGGTTCCTTCTGGTCACGTGCCCAAAGTATGTGAGAGGGAGCTTCAAAATTCTTTCCTCCAAAGACCAGCTTGGTCTCACCCTCTCTAGGATGAACTTGTTTGTTCTCTGAAGGGTCCATGATATACTCAATACTCTTCTCTAGCACCACAGCTCACAGGCATCAGTTCTTATATCCTCCCTAGTCAATGTCCAGTTCTCTGATGCATGGCAAGTAATTGTAAAGACTATGGCCTGTATCAGGCACACAGTCTCCAGACTGACATTGTTGCTCTTCAGTACTTTGGAGAGCAGACTTTGCCCATGCAATCCCTTTTTAAGTGCTGATTGTGGAGCCAAGCAAACTGAAGCTGTTAACAATCTCAGTCTCTTCACCATCTCTCATGCTGCTGCCAATCAACCCACTGGTGATAATCTTTGTTTTGTTGATGTTGAGCTTCGATCCATATTGAAGGCTGCAGTCCTTGATCTTCTGCAACAAGACCTTCATGTCTTCCTCAGTTTCAGCAAGCAGGGTTATGACATCTGCATAACGCAGATTGTGGATGAGTCTGCAAAGTGGGTGGTAAGATAAAGTTGCACTATGGTATTATTTCCCTTCATAGCAGCAGTAGTTTAAAAGTGATAAATGGCTAAGTACAGAAAGGTTCATTCTTTAAAAAGGCAAATTTGTTCTTTATAATCATCATTTGTAGGAGTTTTTGATTGTTGGAGTACATTTATCGTAGTATCATTTCATATTCACAGTGTAGACATTCTCCCTTATTTGTCTAGCATAAGGATTAAAGCCTTGATCCCATAAGGCTGTAGGCCACACGTTGTCCAGCTGGCTTTTGATTGCTATTTTGTCTATTGAATGGACCTGGACTCAGTCCCTCTGAGCCCAATCTGCAGTTGCCTGAAGAGTTTGAAATAGTCAACACTGATAGACTCATTTCCACTCTACTTTTGACCCTGCATCTTAGCAGACAAAGAATCATCTACCATCAGTTGTGTGGAGGCAACCCTCAGTGTGTTAGTAGACTGTTTTTAGATTGACCCTATTTCACTATGGGACAGATATCTACTTGTATTTAATAACAAAAAATGAGCAATTAACATAAAATATATGTATCATGTGGATTTTAAAAATTTAACATAGGGCAACTTTGTGCTAATACTTTTTTTGAACATGTTGTCTGTCAGAGACCAATCTTTGGGAAAAGGCATGATGCTGGGAAAGGCAGAGGGACAGAGAAAGAGAACAAGACCCTCAAGATGGATTTCCACGGTGACTGTGACAATAAGCATGTCAGAGATGAAGACGGCACAGGATGAGCCGGGCAGAACTACTGTTCATAGGGGTCCTGTGAGTTGTAGCCAACTTGATATCACCCAACAACTCTGTTGTTGTTATGTGCCGTCGAGTCGTTTGTGACTCATAGCGACCCTATGTACAACAGCCCTAAACCGTGCTCTATCCTGTGCCAATCTCATTGCCTCTGACACACCCATCCCGAGTACCCCAGTCACTGAATCAATCCACCTCATAGAGGGTCTTCCCCTCCTGTGCTGTCCCTCTACCCAGCATGATGTCCCTCTCTAAAGACCTGTCTCTCCTTACAACATGTCCAAAGTGTGTCAGTCGAAGCCCCAGAATCCTTGCCTTCAAGGAGCAGCCTGGTTTAATCCTCTCTACGATGAATCCGTTTGTTTTCTTGGCATTCAATACTCTTCTCCAGCACCACAGCTCAAAGGTGTCAATTCTCCTTCTATCCTCCCTAGTCATTGTCCAACTCTCTGATGCATAACAAGTAATTGCAAAAACCATGGCCTGTATCAGGCGGACCTTAGTCTCCAGAGAGACACTGTTGGTCTTGAGTATTTTGGAGAGGTCCCTAACAGCAGACTTTCCCATCGCAATACGTTTTTTGATTTCCTGGCTACTGGTGCCAAGAGTGTTGACCATGGAGCCGAGCAAACTGAAGCTGTGAACAATCTCAATCTCTTCGCCATCCATCCTGATGCTACCGATTGGTCCAGTGGTGAGAATTTTTGTCTTCTTGACATTGAGCCTCAGTCCATACTGCAAGGCTGCAGTCCTTGACCCTCTGCAGTAAGTGCATGAGGTCCTCCTCAGTTTCAGCGAGGAAGGTTGTGTCATCTGCTTAACGCAGATTGTTGATAGATGCAGATTGTTACCAATCCTAACGCCACGCCTCTCCTCATAGAGCCAGCCTCTCGGATAATCTGCTCTGCATACAGGTTGAAAAGGTATGGAGACAGGACACATCCCTGACGTACACCCTTGGACATACTTGGACAACTCTAGGCATCTAAAAATTAGTCCGGAGGCTGTAGCTCTACTAGTTACTAACAAATTCCATTTAGAAGAAGGTAAGCATACAGTGAGTGGTAAAGTTAAAAGTGATCTAGGAAATCGGACTGCTTTAATGCATTGCTTTTTTCCCCATACATGTGAACTATTTACACACTGGTCAGGGGTGCAGAACTCTGCTTCTCCCATTGTTCAGGTACTCCCCTTTAGATCCCCCTTACTGTGTTAGGGATCTCTGGTAGCCTAATGAGCAAGAAGTTGCACTGCCCACTCCAAGTGGGTTTAAACCCATCAGCTGCTTCAAGGTAGAAAAATGAACCATCTCCACCTGTGTGATTTACAGCCTTGGAAACAACACAGTGCAGGGTCAGCGAAGAGTACATTCCAACTCAATGGCAATGAGTTTGAGGTTTTTCTTTAACAACTGTTTTAGGTAAAATACTAGAGTATCATCTCCCATGCTAATCATATTAGCAGTGGAAAGTAATTTAAAACATCAGGAACACAGACGATTTGTAACAGAAATTAAGAATTCAAAGTCTTACCATTAAAAGTATTTATTTTATTTGTTTAATACATAAATTCCTTCAGTGAATATGTGTAGTTTATATAAGTGGAATCATAAGTAATTTATTACAATTTTCAATCAGCCTTCTCACTGGCGGCTGTTACAAAGTGCTCGCTCCATCCAACTTGAAAAAGGGAGTTCCCTCAGTTTTCGAGGCCATGCATACCCTATAAGAGTTAACACTGATGCTAATGCAGTTAATTAAGCTTACTTAGAGACAAGGTATGTTAAATACGTTAACACAAAGGTTGGGATTAATCATGTGTCTATTCGATTTAGGATATTTAAAAGATGACAAAATAGGGATTCTGTAAATTGGTGGACAAGCCTATTAGTACATATACAAAAGGAAATTACTTCATTCAACTCAGAAGAGCGGCCATTAGAATAATAACAATGAGGAGGCTTGGCTTTTCCCAGCGGGATTTTGGTCTTCTTGTGGACATGGAAGCAGGGCGGGAGAAGGGGCGGGGCAGCAGGTCGGCCCCGGGCGGGGCCTGGGCTGCAGTGGGAGGAGCTTAACACGGCAGCTCCTCCCCCTCGGGGCGCCGGGACCCGGCGGCGGAGCTCTGCGCGCTGGCGTGGGCCGTGGAGCTGAGCACCTCTTCGAAGCTGCCTCCGCTGTGGTTTGTCCCGCCTACTTTCGTCTGAAACCGGCAAATACAGAGGAAGACAAAAGTTATTACTGGTTTTGTTATGGTTTCATAAGAATGCAAAGATCTGAGCAGTTTACCTTCAGAAGTACTGTATTTTACCCCTCCCCCCCAATAGAGAGATGTAAAAGATGGTAGAGACACAAGCTTAGCTTCTGGGACAGGACTCCAGATGTTTTAAATTTTATCAGAGGGCCAACACACATTTCTTTACAACTAGGTTAAGATTCTCAAATTTTTCAGGAGTAAAACTCTGGGTATTTTAAGATCCATCCAATTCCCTCGAGAACCCCTGCACACAAATGGGAACAGGAATTCCATTTAATTCCCTCAGTTTTATACATATATAAATGCCACTAAGTGACTAAACTTGGGCTTCCTACTGGAATATCCCAGGGCTGATATTTGTTACTACTGATCATAGCCAGTTAAAGGGGCTTAATTTAAAAGGGCTCTATTTACAGGGCTTTCTACCTGGGCTTTGCCACGTGGTGTAGTATGTCTCCTCCCTCCAGTAGCTGTATCATTTTGCACTTTATTTTTATCATTAACATTTATTTTTTATTTGAGTCAAAGTTTACAAAACATTGTTTTTCATAAGATCACCCCTCAACATTTTGTTTTAGAAAATTAGTTACCTTTGATTAATGTCATCAATTAACTACGATGTCTAATCAACCCCCTTATTTGTGTGTAGTCTTTTACGCAGTGGGTCTTGTCTTAGGACAATAATAATTTTACACCTTCTTGGATAGTTGACTATAAATGTGAAGTGGCCCTTAAAATATTATGTACCCTCATACTGGAACTGACTCCCAGCTGACCCTCTAGGGAATTTTCAGAGTCTGTAAATCTCATGGGAGGAGACTGCTCGTCTTGCTGCCAGGGAACCGAGAACCACCAGAGAGGTGCCACCTTAAGGTTGTTGGCATGCAAATGTCGATGGACTGCATTACTAGAGCTCCCTCAAAATACGGTTAGTTTTTAAAGTCCCTTACTAAAAAGCTCTTCAAAAGAATATATAATATAAAAATGCATAATTCATAACTGCAAGTCATAGCAATAGTTACATAGGCTTTTGTTAGTTGGTGAAAATATGGAAATCCTCTTGGAGGGAAAAGAAGTAATGGAGAATAGATAATTACATTGCTATTGCCAAATTGTTACCTGCACCTCAGTGTCACCCAAGTGGTCACTGACATGAGCAAGCAGAGCACCAGCAAAAATACTTTTAAGAAGGTGAACGTAGTCATTACAAAAGCAAGTGAACACGTTTCTTTGTTGTCACGGAAATCCCAAATCATGTCTTTTTAGCTCTTTTCTCTATAAAATTGAGATTTTTCCACTCTTCTCTGAGGTTTTAGGGAAGGGGATCAGAAAACTTTCTGTGCAAAACTAGATAGCTTTTTACGCATGCAAGTCAGGCTTAGCTGTAAATACGCAACTTTTCTGATGAAGGGTAGAATTAGGCCTAGAAGAGACCTAGTGCTATGACACTGAACTGCAATCCCTTACGTGAATAAGCATGGCCGTACCAATACAACTTTATGTTTAGACGCTGAAAGGTGAATTTCATGTCATTTCATTTTCTAACTAGTGGTCTAACGGTCAGGAGTTGAACTGGAAACTCAAAGGTACATTTATTCAAATCCACTAGCGGTTCTGTGGGAGAAAGCTGGGCAGTCTCCATCCATGGGATTGAAAAAGCTGGGCTGTCTCCATCCATGAGATTAAATGCCTTTGAAAACCCACTAGAGGGTCAGCCATGGGTTGCTTTCCACTCAATGGTACACAACAACAATTTCACAGAAAAATAGTCTCATTTTTATTTTCCCCCAACCACTTCAACTTATATAAAATAATTCTTAATTAAGGGCCATCTAAAATTTTTCCTTTTCTCTGTACATTTTCTTAGTCCTTGAAAGGAAGAATATTTTCAACTCTGTGATTTTTTTCCCTATGCTTAGTCTTTCCTTAGAGCTAATTCTTACAAATACGATCACATCAGTGCAATCATTTAACATTTCACTCTTAATATTCCCCCCCACACACACACTTAAATTCTCTTCTATAAAATAAGTCACACCGAACACAGTGTTGGGTGAGATGAATACCAATTATTGCAGTATCCTGAGCTTTATTTCATTCTTCTCTCTCACCTCTTGAAAATGAAAAATGAAGGAACCTGTTTGAAATAAACAATGGCAAGAAAGGAGCCAAATAAAGGTGTTTCCTAGCTATGTAGATTTAAATCATTGCACACTGAAATACATTAGTCCGGGATCTGCTTACATAGCAACATGGTCTAAAAACCTCTCCTAGATACTTCCAGCTGTGATTATTTTTCACTCCAGAAATATTTTGTCACTCTGTCCTGAAAATACAGTTGTTCTTTGCTTAAAATTTCTTTTGAGCTATGAGTTGGGTTTCCTGATATTTCCTAATAAAAATAGCTGATTGATAGAGTAACAGAAATTATAACATACCTTATGTTATTTTAAATAGAAAGGTGTTTTGATTCTGGCCATGGGATGGTATTCATAAATAAGCTGGTACCCTAAAAATTTGCTCTGTTTACTTGCATGAAGAATGAAGGAGAGGGATGGAGTTTATGGTGATCTACTGAAGCATTTCAGAAAAGCCCAGATGTGATTGCTTTACTACATAGTTGATTCTGGAGCTGACACTTCTTAAACTTGTCTATGGGCTTCATTGAAAAGAATGGGATCCCAGAGCATTTAAACTGTGCGCATGCGAAATGTAAACCTAGGTCAAGACGCCTAAACTGAGCAAGGGAACACAGCATGGCTTACAGTGAAGGAAGGTGCATACCAAGGCTGTATCCTTTATACCTATTCAATCTGTATGCTGAGCAAATCATTCAAGATGGAATTTATGAAGATGAATCAGGATTGGAGGAAGACTCGACAACAATTTGCATTATGCAGGTGACAACATCTTGCTTGCTGAGAGTGAAGAGGACCTGAAGTGCTTGCTGCAGAAAATCAAGGACTACAACCTTCAATATGGATTGCCTCTGAACAGCAAGAAAACAAAATTCTTTACTAACAGAACAATAGGCAACGTCATGATAGATGGAGAAAAGACTGAAGTTGTCATTGATTTCCTCTTACTTGGATCCACAATCAATATCTTTGGTATCAGAAATCAAAAGATGAATCACATTGGGATAATCTGCTATCAGGGACCTCTCCAGAGTACTAAAAAGCAATGATGACAGTTTAAAGACTAAGGTACACCTGATTCAAGCCATGATATTCTCAAGTATTTGTATTTGTTATGCATCTGAAGGTTGGACAATGACTAAAGATGACAGAAGAATTGATGTGTTTGAGCTGTAATGTTGAAAAAGAGTACTGAATATCCCATGGACTGCCAAGATAAAAATCAGGTGTGTTCTAGGGAAAGTAAAATCCGGGTGCTCCATGGAGCAAGGACAGTGACACTTCTTGGACATGTTAGGAGAGCTAGTTCTTGAAAAAGACATTATATTTGGAAAGGTAGAGGGTCAGTATAAGAGAGGAAGATCCTCAATAAAGGAGATTGACACACTGGCTCAAATGTGCTGGAGATAGTAAGGATGGCACAGGAAGATGCAGGGTTCATATCGGTCATTCACAGGATCACTTTGAGTCAGGACCTAACAACAATAATAACATTGGTTTTTAAATGGGTGCGCTGGGGCCTAGGAGTTGTGCTGCCAACCCAGAGGCACGTAGTTTGAATACGCCAGCTGCTCATTTCCTCCCATGAGATTTTACTGCCTTTAAAAAATCCACTGCAAGGTCAGCTATATGTCAGTTCTGACTCAACATAAAAACAGTAACATTGTTGTTTGTTGTTCTGTTAAATTTTGCCATTCTTACTACTCAACAAATGCTGGCAAGGTTGTGGAGAAACTGGAACACTTACTCACTGTTGGTAGGAGTGCAAAATGGTGCAATCACTGTAAAAAAAGGCTGTACGTTGTTTTCTCAAAAAATTGAAAATAGAAATACCATTTGACCCAACAATTCCACTACTGGGAATATACTCCAAAGAAACCATAACTGCCACCCAAGCAGATATATGAACACCCATGTTTATTGTGACTTTGTTCACAATAGCAAAGAGTTGGAAACAATCCATCAACAAACGAATGGATAGAGAAGCTGTGGTATATTCACACAATGGAATATTATGCTGCAGTAGAAATCAAGGAACTCATGAAATATTATACAAAATGGGTGACCCTGGAGGACATAATGCTCAGTGAAATATCTCAGTTACAAAGGGACAAATACTGCATAGTGCCACTGCTGTAAAACAGAATTGAAATGGGGATTGAAGGCAGACTGAGAAATATAGGATAAATTATGTATACTGCATTGAAACAGATGAGGGAAAGAACTGTTTAAAAGGGATATATGATTAGGTATTCTTGTCATGACAGGAGTCCAGGAAGAAAGCTGCAAAGTGGAGTGGACTTGGGGGCAGGGATTGTATATCAATGAAAGAATTTTTCTTTTACTTTTCAAAGAGAAGAGTGAAATGGAGGGAAATTGGGAAGGGATAAAAGTGCAACAATGAATGAATAGGGAAAAAAATAAAATTAAAAAAAAGCAAAATAAAAACCAAACCACCACGAACATTGATTTTGAATGAAACCAAAAGCATACTCATTGACTAGATTGGTAAAATTAGCTGAGATGTCATAAAGTATTGCAAAAATTTAGACAGAAGGACTAAGTTTCATAGGATTATGATGAGCTGGGACATTTTTGATAGGAAATCAGACTACCTACAGAACTGTGTATAAAGGAGAACAATCAGTTGGGTACAAATGCCATCTGGTTGGTATGTGACAGATTGTGTGAGAAGATGGACTTCACAGGAGAACATTATTTCTATCAGAACACAAATATGAGCATGATTCACAAGCGATGTTTTAAAAATTAAGCTGAACAAAGTGCAAGTGAAGAGAGAGGTAGCGT